ATGTGCTCACGCACTCACTATTCCAGACGCCTCGTTGTACGGCCAATGTATCCTGCTGCACAGGGGCAAGTGAATGAATAAATACACATCGATATGGTCTGCAACGGGAGTCGGCCTTTACCTCCCAAGCGTAGGAGGGGAGAGTTCGTGAAAAATACACGTAAATTCGCCGCGGGGAAAGCGCTAATGATAGCTGTCTTCAGGCGTCTTCTTACTAGGTCACTTACTGCGTCCCCTTGAAGATGTAGCCTTATAAATAAGTCTTTCTTTTCTGCAGTTGCCATGGTGGGCTTTGTAGTGCGCTCCCCTATATTTTGGAGGATAAATCTTTCTGGGTATCCGTTTTCGCGGAGCATATCGCACAGCTGCTGGAGTTCCGACTCAACAGTCTCAGGAGAGCAGATACGTCGCACTCTGTCTGTCAATCCCTGGGCCAAATCGCGTTTAATATTTGGGGAAACAAAATTCTGAAAATTACTGTATTGTTCCGTCCAGGTTTTCCTTCGGAATACCCTACGCCGGATAGATCCTTCCTCTTGCCTGGGCAGAAGGACATCGAGGAACGCGATTTCGTTGTCTGCATCAAGCTCTGTAAAGAACTTTAGTGAGGGATGTGCACTGTTCAACTCTTGGACCAGGGCGTCTGCGTCGGTGGCAATATCCATCAGGAAGAAAATATCGTCCATCTACCGACCGTATAAGTCAAGGTTATAAATAATATCTTGCAAACTTGTCATCTCGACTTTGCACATGAAGACATTTGCGGGCGACGGACCGAGTGGTAGGCCCATCGCTACGCAGCCTATTTGTCTGTACAGTTGACCATTGCAGAGAAACTGGACGTTTTGCGTATAACATGTCAGTGGTTCTTTTAACGTTTCCACTGGTATGTCTACTGGGTAGTTCGTGTAGCGTATAACTTCACAACGGTAGTTTATTACTTCAACTTCGGGTAAATTAGTAAACAGTGATGCCACATCTAATGATAGCATCCTCCGTCCGTCAACGTTAATATCCTTGATAGCCTCGACAGACTCCGAGGAGACCTGCAAACTTAGAGAGCACAAATGACTTTGCAGCAGGTTAAGCTTTTCGACTAGCCATGTTGCTGTGGTGTCCTAGGACGAATTCCTCATATCCAGGATTAGACCTGGGGGCAGTCCGTGTTTGTCCGGACGAAAATTTTCCGAAGGCACACCTTTGATTGCAATGTGGGTAAGATGTGGCTATGTAGCCCCACCTGACGGACACAATACTGTTGGGGTTAGGGATTAGGGCAACTATTTCTCATACACTCAAAGTAAAACCGCGCATTCCCAGTAGCCTTCCTTTTGCAAACAGTTACTTGCCCTCGTCGCCTGTGCGTCCCCCCGCGGCCCTACCTGTAAAAACCTCTTTTACCACCGTTGCCGTATTACGGGTGGCTGGGGCTTGTTTGCCCCAGGTGCGGCTACATAACCATGTCTAACTGGGGCTTACTATTGTAAGCGATCGGACTATGAACGTATCGATTTCCCCTGTTAAATTCATAAATTCATATTTAAGCCGAAATCCATCTGTTTCAGCAGGATAACCGCCTAATATTCATAAGCTCCCAGCGGGCAGTTAGTGGCACACACATTTTGTAGGATATTTCTTGACTCAGGGGTTAGATTTCAACTCCATGGGACATGTTTGACTACCGCTGGCAAGTAAGACAGAATTAGCCATTCTAATCATCGTTACCTTTACCAGTACGACTTCCCAAGAAGAAATGCAGCACTCTTGGTGTGCATTACGGTCTAGTAAGAAAATATTGGGTAAGATGTGGTTTGGTAGCCACACCTGCTAGACACAATACTGTTGGGGTAAGGGTTAGGGGTTGCGATTAGTGTTAGGTTTAGGGGTTAGGGTTAGGGGATATAGTTAGAGGTTAAGGTTGGGATTAGGGGTTAGTGCAACATTTTCTCAACCATAGAAAGTACAACCGCGCATCACCAATAGCTTTTATTTGCACACAACTTCTTGCTCTCGTCGCCTGTGCCTCGCCCGGTCCCACCTGTAAAAACTCCTATTACCACCGGTCGCGTATTAGAGGTGGCTGGGGTTTGTTTACGTCATGTGGGGCTTCACAATCACATCTGACCGCAAGAGGAATAAAAGAATATACTCAGCATAGATGATCTAGATGGCTCAATAGCATCCAAGAGCCTGTTTCCGGACAGCATACTGTCTAGCGTCTTCAGACGCAGTAAGTCACTCTGGGAGGCAATCATGGAGGGCGAGGAGGAATCTAGAAAAGAACAGTCCAGTGCCCATTCTTGGGATGCCTCTAACTTACACTGTTCGCATAAGAGACAGAGAGGAGGATAACGAGCGCGAACCGAAGAATACCTCCGATGGCTTCGCGGTAGACAAGAACAAAGCAGCGCAGTATTCACATACAAAAGAGCGCGAAAATGAGCTCCCCGTTTACTACTACTACTACTACTACTACTACTACTACTACTACTACTACTACTACTACTACTACTACTACTACTACTACTACTACTACTACTACTACCACCACCACCACCACCACCACCACCACCACCACCACCACCATCATCATCATCATCTTCTTCTTCTTCTTCTTCTTCTTCTTCTTCTTCTTTTTCTTCTTTTTCTTCTTCATATTGATCCATTTGTTGACAAGTCTTCCGTCAAACAGTCTGACTTACTCGATAATTTTTTCGTCTGGACATAATACAGGTAACCTTGCATTGAATTCCAGCGAAAATAAAATTAGAGGCAAGACACGAATAGATATCGTCTCTGGAGCTTAATACAAGGCCGTCTGCACTACGGAGAAGTGGGATTCCCAAGCCTATGTCTTGCTGATTTTCCTCTCAGCCTGATTTCTTTGCTACTGAACGTGTTCCCAAAATACTCCAGTTCCGATTTTTTGTCAAAACCACCTTTCGGACTGAAAGTCAGCATAACAGGCAAGAGGAATTTCATTGCGGTCGGGCTGAAGTACTTCATGATTAATCTTGCTGATGGAGGGAAGGGCAAACGAGGGAAGTTCAGTGCTGAGGACTGACTTGAGTTAAAAATCGCCCATACTCATAGCTGCCTATTCAATGACGCTAAATAGGCCCTTTTATTTCTTCCTCGGTCCACAGATTTTCGCCCTCCCGAACTGCTACGAAGGTTAAAAGCTTGGTTGACTTTGGGTAAATTAGCGTTATTGCTGTATACTTATAGGGATTGTGAATTGGAAAGATCGTACAACAAATCCAGCATTCATTTTCCTAGTGTTCAGCGATTTGCAAGTAGAATTGTTAGCTCCCCTATTACAAATGAATACACACCTTGCTGTGTTTCAAATTTTTTCCATTGTCTACGATAGAAAAAGCGTTAGGCGGAGCAGAAAGTTCACAAATAACGAAAAAATTAGACTCCAAAATTCAGAATGATTTTTCCGACCAGTTGTTCAAAGAAGTACTAAACAGCCAAAGGACATTTAAAGCCAAAAAACAGGACAAACAACGCTGCCAGACGCATTGCCGTGGGCAAACACAATTATTGGCACACCCAGTCAGCTTTCACAAATCTTAACAAAATATAGAAATCTGTCTTTAAAAACATCCGGAAGTACCGATTCCTGTGTTTGTTATTTTGACTGTCTCCTAGGATACGTGGTTGAGCACAAAAAGCGATGTCAAAAGGACCGTTTTGAAAGGGAGAAAGGAAACAGTCGGCCTTATTATCGATCCACGTTTTCGTTTCGACCCAACTGTAGAAAATCTGTGGGATTTGAACCTACCACAGCAGGAGGTAAGCTTAAATACATCCAACGCTCTAGCCACCTGCGCTACGAGTCCCTATCAAGAGCCGTGAGTTCAGTAACGTTTGATTAAATTGCCCGCTCAGCCTACTGTCACGTATGGAATCCACCAAATATGATGCAGCAAACAGGCCGTTCAAGCAGGATTACCAAAGTAATCAATCTAGAATCCACCAGATGACTACCAAGCTCACTTAATAAATAGGCGTTTCGGGAAATTTTGAGGAATCCATTTTGATTCATAGCTCCCGGCGGGGCTTCGTAGCCCAAGTTGCTAGAGCATTGACTGAACTCCAGTCAGCAACTTGACGTCGTGGGTTCGAATCCCATCGAGATCCGCACAGGTGGGCTAAAATGAGTTTTTCAAAATCTGCCGAAATACCTGCTAATTCACCTTTCTTAAAATGGAGACTCTCCCTTTAAAGTTCTCGCCGTCCTATAGTTGATAACAGAGTATTATCTACAGGAGACAGTGAATTCACACACTGGGTGTTAGTTGTAAGAATTTTCACGACGAATTTATGCGGAACCTGTATACTTTTACCTCTCTTTATTGTGAGGTCACGGGAACTTCCACTCAAGAACAGACTTTATTCCTGTATCTCAATCGCAGCCCTAATCTTCGCCCTAATCTTAATCTCCCAGAAATCTAGTGCCAGACAACTCGCATTACTAGAGGGGTTCCCATTCCCCTGTTATATAGTCAAATCAATGAGCTAAAGACTTTTTAAAACTTTTCGGCACAGCACGGCCTCTCGCTTGAGGGGTTTCGGTTAAATATGGCCGTCAGAACTGTACACTTTAACTGACACAGAACCGAAGCGGTTTTAACCAAACATGTCTAATTACGGAAATCCTAAGTTGAATATTGTCTGGAAAACTGCGAAAGAAAAATGCTGTACAGTGAGCCGAACTTTGCCAGAAGTCCTAAACGGAACCCACGCCTGAGGCTTGCTGCCTCCTATTTTTAACTCTTCTCACCACGCAGGGCGTGAACTGTTTGTGAACGTTCAGTAGTAGACATGCACATAAAATGCATTCCACAATTCGGTAACACTTACCGCACGCCTAGACATGCAACTGCGCTTTCATTTCAGTCGCAAGAGAGAAAGAGAGGGAAATAGAGCGCGAGCAGACACTTTTTGAATGAATCAAGAGAGTTCGGGTGCGTCGAAAAAGTAGACAAAAGGCATTACCCGACAAAACGCAGGATAAAAGCCTAAATTTACATGAATTGTGATCAAACAGAGGAGATAAAAGGGAGTTAAAAGGGAAATACAGATAAAAAAATAAGCGGGAGGGACAGAGAGAAGGACTAGAATATAGTGGTTGGCACTGATTTCGTGAACTTGAATATGTCAGTGGGCAGGCTGTAAGGAAAATCGAAAAAGAAGCCTTAGTCGACGACCAACTGCTGAGAACAAAATGCAGTCCTAGTGCCTTGACTGCGTTTTCTGACCGATAGACTGATCCTGCTGCCAAGCTACAGTCTAACCGCCGTTAACGACGATAACCACCGTGTGTTCCCCAGCATGGCGAGTGCAGTGAGGTGAATTACCATGCATATAGTGCGTGACCTATCTCATGAAATGTTGGCTGAAATTCTGAAATGCGTTTTCAATTAGTAAGGATTAATTGGTCGCGTTCGTAATACTGATTACCTTAAGGCACACTCTTATAATATTCCGGACTCGGCAGGATGTTGGCTTTTAACTGCACTTCTTTTCAATCTCCTATAAAAAGCGTGCTCGGTAAAAAATGACTACTTAAGTAGCATGCATTTTTCCCATTGATTTTCGATAGTTTTGGAAATTTAAATATATTTTATAGAAGCGACAAGCAAAAATATGCTTTCTTTTAGTCAATCAGTAGAGAATCACGTCTTCTTTATATTTTATACTTAAGGAAGGAGTATAATTAGGTTTTGAAAAAGTTTTCTAATTGCCGAAAAATTTGGAGCCTGATCATTTGTTGCATTAGCGCTTAGTGATTACACTCTACAAGGTGCATGCGTTCCGCGTAAAGAAAATCCTATATTTTTCTATGTCATTAAGGAGATATCATACAGGGTCCATAAAATTTTTCAATGGATGCGGACCATGTTGTACATTTCATGAGGAGCAGGGGTAAACGGCCAGGTACGATGCTATGTGAATGGACATATTGCGGTCTTAAAAAGTCTCATAATAAGAAACTTTTTAAAACCCTAATTATACTCCTTTCTTAAGTATAAAATATAAAGAAGACGTGATTCTCTACTGATTGACTAAAAGAAAGCATATTTTTGCTTGTCGCTTCTATAAAATATATTTGAATTTCCAAGACCATCGAAAATCAATGGGAAAAATGCATGCTAATTAAGTAGTCATTTTTTACCGAGCACGCTTTCTACAGGAGATTGAAAAGAAGTGCATTTAAAAGCCGACATCCTGCCAAGTCCAAAATGTTATAAGAGTATGCCTTAAGATAATCAGTATCACAACCGCGACCAAGTAATCCTTCCTAATCGAAAACGCATTTCAGAATTTCAGCCAACATTTCATGAGATAGGTCACGCACTCTACTGGTTATGGACTTGTGCGACATCTACCGCGCGGCCTCCTCCCTCACCCACATTGATTCGTTATTGAGAAAGACTTAAGAAGACCGAAGGTGGGATAGAAACCTACCAGCGCTGCTTCAACTGTCGAATGATTTTTTAGTTATTGACAGCACTTCAGTAGTATGATACACTGTGATTTTACTGGACATTTGACCGCAAAATCCAGGGAAAAACACGACTGATGAAAGTCGACATTGGGCAGGCGTACAGCTTGTGCAGACTTCTGCCCAATGCCGAAGCTTGCCGTACCTTGCATGCGTCATGAGGGCGTAACTGTAAGATTCAAGACGATCGATCGGTTCTTCTTAGCTGATTGGACCTGATAACTACTGCCTCCATCTCTTCATCTGGACATCTACTCACTGACGTTTCCCCTTTCCCTCCCTTCTGGACCAGGTTGGTGCATTTTGTCTCGACGAATTTTGCCCGCTACAGTCTATTATCTTGATTTTCAGGTTAGGAACTGGTCGCTGCTGTCAGTCATTGCATTCGACGTAACCTGTCGCTGGTGATTCCCGGTAAAAGGAAGAATGGCATTAGACTCGAAAGGAGAACGAAAATATATCGACAAGGATAGCAAGCAAGAAAGTGGTGGGTATCTCAAAATGTGAGAATAACATATGTTCGGTGTTTGCGCTGTTACCGTAGAAACTGCTGTGTTCGGTCTTCTGTACGCATAAAACATGAAAAGAAATTTAGTAAAACTATGAGCATTCGTAATAAATAAGTGAAGGCCACATTAAAACAGCGCATATGGCAGTGAATGGCACACTTTCCAGTAAAAATGGAGAGAAACATCAAGTTTCTGGCCAAGTCCAAACTTTCGCCTGCGCTTTTATTAAAAGTGCATATCAAACAATAGCTATCTGATAAGACTATTAAAAGCTACCTTTATTTCCACAGCGGCTCGAATATAACATGGGCTTAAAGTGCTTTTAAGTGGAGTCATAAAAATATGAGAACGCAAATGGATGACATATCATGACTTTCTGCTTGGCAGGGTTAAAAGTGTTTAGTTTTTCGGCAACTACTACACGTTTTAAAACAAACCGTCATTTTCAGTTGCCTCCGTCACGCAAAGGTATTTTTGACCTCGTCTTTGGGGAATAAATTAAAGCTACTCCAGTGTTGGCTCTAAACCAGTCTGGGATTTAAAAAGCAAGACAATGCATTAATCAGTGGCATTTCAGTGGGCCCTCAGGTCTGCGCACTAAATGTAGCTGCCGTTGTTCGTCCAAGAGAGGACACAGTGATGGTCAGGATTTAGCGGATAGTGGGAAGGCGTTTTGTTGATCGCGCCGTTGGCCTCGTGTGA